GGGGGGGGGGGGGGGGGGGGGGATTGAAAAATTCTCAAAAAAATGTTACAAAAGTAAAAAAACCGGTTTTTATTGCATAATTAACATCGTATGTTATTTCTAATTAACAGGAGAATCTTTTTTTAATTTGTTCATGTTCCAAGATTTATATTTTGCGTTTTTAAAAATATTAATGCCCGTGCAAAGGACAAGATCGATCATCTCACTCTTAAAATATTATATGAGCTATAAGTCATCGCTGCATTCTTCAGTTTTCTTTTCAGAGTGAATTCTTCTTTACTCACGCCTATACTCACCTCATATTGTAATGATGGACCGGCTTTCGGTAGAGCTCAAAAGCGCTTCCTCTTTGCTCTCGGCTACTAGCCAGGTCCAGACCGCTAGGTTCCCTATTGTGTCCAGGATTAGCGGAAGGATAAAGCGGGCCTGCGGGAGCGTGGTTGTTACCGTGCATATATCCATTGTGATTCGTACTGTTCCGGTTATGCGGCAGACCGAGACTGATCTGGCTGGTACTATTGCTGTGGGAATGCGTAGTAGTTACCGGCGGACTTGAGTGAGAATGCGTGTGACTGAGGCTGTGGCTGTGTGTTGGCGATGTAAGATGACTTAAATTGTGATGTGAGTTCACAATATTGCTGTCATTGTGACGACCGGGTGACGGGATGTTGTAATAATACTGACCGCTGTTGCGCTGCACATTACTGTTGATTTCTACCTAAATAGAAAAATCCATATAAAATTGCAACAATCTTATACGTGATTGATAATCGGTATGATTGTTTTTTCATTGAATAGTAAATCACTGATTCACTGCAGACATTGATAACAATAATAACAATAATAATGTAAAAAGAAAGAGTAATTATCTTTATGAAATTATAATTTATAAAATAATTACCCCATTATGCACATGCGACGTAGCAATAGAATAACTCTTCGAGTGTTGATATGAATTACTCCCATCGTTTCCGTTATTTTCCGTTTGTGCAAGCAACGCTTGAGGTGGCCTGTAATTCTTCGGCTTTGGAGGAGGAATCGGTTTATAAGTGCCTGGCGGCTTGTTTTGTGAAATTGATATCGATTTGTAGTCAGTTGATCGGCTGTAAACACAAAAAATAACCTTATATTAGACTTATTTACAGACTTACACTTACACGTTACAGAAGATATAAAAAGTGTTACAAAACAAAATTAATAAATAATATCAATTATAATATTATTTTGTGCAAAAAGGACGACTTCAAGATATTAAAAAATTTCTTTAAAATAGTCTTATCTCATAAAAAAAGATATAATATAAAAAGTTTTCTTTCTAAATTCTTAACTAAACATCAATATATCAAAAAGTAAATTTATTCAAGGAAAATGTACATATAAAATAAATGTATATTTCAGTTTATTGGGTGTGTTAAATACGCACCTATATTTGGCATAATCGGTTCGCGTTTGAGCGTCATGCGTGGAAATAGGCTGAACTGTAGATCTAGTGAATCTATATGGATCGTGCGCTCTCGTTGGTATGTTGCTGCTTTTGAGATCATCAGGTACATTCGGACCCAAACGACCTGTCGACGTGTTTAAATTTGCCATCCCGTAGTTCGCGTTCCCATTAGTATTGTTGTACGAATCATAGGAAGACATACTGTCATAACTTCCCTATAAGAGAGCGTAAATATATCTTACAGTTGAATTTGAAGCGCAATTTATTTCGAGTTATAGCACATAGAAATATCGTTTACCGCTTTCGGCTGTGCCCGTTCCAAAGATGATGTGGCATTTGCTTTGTGAGAAGTCGCATTAATGTAATTCCCCATATCTAGAATTGAGTCAGTTTTATTCACTCCTAGACGTTCCTGAACAGACCGTCCTATCGTTCCCCGTGGCACTTGATTAATCGGTTTCACATTTCGATCAACTCGCGGTGGCAGGTCCGGTGGACTATGATGAGAAGATCTAGGCTCGAAGGAGCTGCCCAAATATTCCGGCGAGCCGGACTGATTGCTCCTTTGACCGGACAAGGAGAAACCATACTTGCTATCGCCTACTCCTTGAGATCTTCTCTTCTGTTGTTCGAATGATTGCTACAAGTAAAGAAATCTATTAGAGGTATTATATACATATATTGCTATTTAAAAAAGGATTTAGTAGTAAAAAATACTGCACAGAGAGCTGATTAAATAGAAAATAGTAAAATAATATTAAAGTTTTATTTCAGTGTAGTTTGCTTTCCTTGCACATGAGCGCTATGTTATTTATTAGATATACTACATATATTGAATAGTTTTATGTTCAGATTTCTAGTACACTCATAATAGATTTCAGCAGATGCATTCAATAAGAAACAAACTTTTTCTTATTTATAAGATATAAATCAAGTTTAATAGTAAGTCATCATTTTTAGATGTATTTGAAAATACATATACCTGATAATTCGTTGAATACGGTGGCGGCGCAGTAGTATCATCTTGAGTAGCAATACTCGGATCAGAACTACTCTTTAGCCGCGATGGTGGACCCAAAGTGCCAGGGATAACAGGCGCTGGGCTCAGCTCCAAATCGCTCTCCGGAGAGGAAGCGTAGGAGAGGCGAGAAGTCATCGGGAATAGGAAGTCATCCGAGAGAGCTTCTTCCGGCTACGAGCGTGGATCACAAAGGACATCACATTAGGCAAACGGTACATATGGTGCATGAATTAATAACCACACGACACAATGAATATACGTTATTCAAATATTATTCAATGAAGTGCCATGAATAAGTTATTATGTTTAATATAAATAAGATGAAAATATTCAAGGCTCTTAATATAAAAATATTCAATATAAATTAAAAAGGGCGATGTATGAGTCAGAAGTAAATTACATTTAAAACAATATTAGAATGTCGACACATTTAATTCTAATTTGAAAAAAACAAAAGAAATAATTACAAAAAATTGCTTAAAATTAAAAACATCATGTCCGTTACTTAAAATTAAAAACATGCTGCGCGTAACAAGTTTTGACTCCTTGATTGAGTCCTCTTCAGACTTCAAAATAATCTCTTTCGTAGATAAAATTATTATAAATAGTCAAAATGTAATATTGTTGTTGAAAAAATTTTTAATAATTCGTAAGTAACAAAGTTTCTGTAATAATTAATGCAACGCTATACAAAATATTATGTGAGAATGTTGTAGTTTATAAGAAAAACAATACTTACCAAAACAATAATAAAATAATAGATATAAATTAAGTCCATGTTCGAATAATATGTGTTTAACAGTGTAATATATAAAATGCAACGGCAATGCGTTGTAAAAGTACAGAACAATCAATTTTTACAACATTCTCACATAATATTTTGTATAGCGTTGCATTAATTATTACAGAAACTTTGTTACTTACGAATTATTAAAAATTTTTTCAACAACAATATTACATTTTGACTATTTATAATAATTTTATCTACGAAAGAGATTATTTTTAAATCTGAAGAGGACTCAATCAAGAGATAGAAACTTGTTACGCGCAGCATGTTTTTAATTTTAAGCAATTTTTTGTAATTATTTCTTTTGTTTTTTTCAAATTTAGAATTAAATGTGCCGACATTCTAATATTGTTTTAAATGTAATTTACTTCTGACTCTTACTTCGCCCTTTTTAATTTATATTGAATATTATTATGTTTATATGAATATTTTATATAAAAGTTAAATTTGCAATATGCTTTTTTAGCTCAATAATATAATATAATATACATCTCTAATTGTTCTTTCTAAGCATATTACAAATTAAACAATTTACAGAGGAAGTAAAGTAGAAATATAATAGCATGATAAGCACGCATTCACAGACATATAAAACACATAGAAAAAACTGTATTTTCGAGTTTATGTAAAAAATATTTGTAAATATTAGTCACAATAAGATAAAAAAAGGAAAAATACTGGTAATTTTATAATAAATCCAGCAAACACCAAATTACATATAACGCGCGTACACGTTAGTTGTAATTTTCCACTCAACAATATAACTGTAACATAACATACATATTATATTACAGTTATATTGTCGAGTAGGAAATTACAATTAACGTGTACGTTACACGTAACTTGGTGTTTGCTGGGAAACAATTTAAAATTATTTTACTAATTAGCTCAATAACTTAAAAGAGTTAACAATTTAGCAAAATAACTTTAGTTTCATCTTGAAATTATATTACTGTATTTTTTTTTATTTGTATTGTAATCAAATTGAGAAAATACTTTATTTTCTCGAGCGTCAGCAGTTAGAGTTGACAGTTTCGACAAATTGACAGTTTTGAAAAAACGAAATAGATTACAAATAGATATAGTCATGCAAAATGGAGAAATGCATACTTAGAACATGCTGGATTAACCCTTTAACTGTTTAAACAAATATACATATATTCGAATGTTAACTTAATTATTATTTTTAATATGTTTGCACAGTCAAATCAATTTAATTGCTCTTTTAATGATTAATTAATATACGTACACGCCGCGTTTCTATATAAAATAGTACGACAAACTGATTTAACTCAACAAAGAGTACGTTAAGTGCTAAAATATTATGTTGTAAAATATTGTTCTAAATTTCACAGTTAAAGAGTTAAAGCAAACAGGATTTATATATAGCCGAAAAATTGCTCACGGATGACGCCTGAGTTTGGAGGCTGTTGCGGAAGTGGTGGGAATTTTTCTATGAAAGATGATATTGATTGATGATGCGACAGAAGCACGTCGTAGTTCTTGTTCTCGTCATAATTTACATTATCGTTAGGAAGTGGAGGAAGTGACAGGACGAGAGGTGGTATATGAGCGTATACAGGCGGATGCGATAAATCCCATACCGTGTATCGGCTATATATCGGCTACAATGAATAGACCCAAATTATGCCTGAGATCTCCGTACAATGGAGCGTATATATGAGCAACGAGGAAAACCCGTGATGAAAACTTATGAGAAAAGTGAATATAGAGAATGAAAAAAAAGAAAAAGGGAATAAAAAACCATCTCAACAGATAACTATATTTTTAATAGCTTCATTCTTACTAACATTTTTATATTTAATTAAAATAAAACAGGGGAAATAGTACGCGTATTCCGCAATATAATTTGTACGTTGACTAAATTGCTTTACCTTAGTTTGACTCATCCATAGCGAACTTTGCTGTTGGCGGTCGATGAGCTCTCTCAGTTTCCGGTACCAAGCTTCCGGTGCATTGAGAGTGATTACAGCACTGAATACGTGTCCCCAGATCTTGTCGAGCTTTTGACACTGCTCCAAAAGCTTTTTACTGCTTTTGTGAGCTGATCTGTAATTATACAAATGTCGCATATAGAATTTGGTAAAGGAAAAGCAGAATCTTTTTTCTCAAAGTCTTATCTCGATATCATTCTTACTTTGGTATGCCTGCTCTCATCTCTTTGATGACCTGCTTCGTCTCGGCCTTTAAGAAAATGACGATTGGATAAAATTGAGCGTAATTTAAGCGATCCACGGCATTCGGAGTAATGTCAAGCAGCGCGTGCTTGCCCCTGTCCATCACTTCTCTGATAGCGCTCAGACGAATAATGCCGGATGTTTTGGTGTTTTTCCCTGTACCATCTTCCATTTGACTTTCCATTTCTACAAAATATTCAATATTTAGAAATATCTACTTCGAAAGTATGATAATGAACGTAGTTCATTCAGTAAACAGTTAATGCAGAGTATTGTTCATTGTTTACTTACGTGGCGAAGTGAACTTATCAGGGAAATCTTTTAGCAGCTTTTCTCTAGCAAGATCGGCCACAGGTCCGAAGAGAACAACGGGTCTGACAAATCCAGGATGTCTTAAGATTACACGTTCGTACGCTGGAAATTTGCTTACACTATCGGAGAACACTACATCATCCCAATGGTCCTAAAAAATGTAGAAGAAACATAAAAATTAATTTAATCAGATATTAATGTATAGATTAAAGTTATTTAATCCTTTTTAATATTTATAACATATGATACAAAAAAATAAAATAAAATTTAAGTATAGAAAAAAATCCGTATTAGATTGTATATATAATGTATAAAGATAGATAAAAAGAGAGTTTGTTGCATTCGTACCCTTCCTAACGATTTCGAGCGTCTGTGACTGTTTCTTCTTCTCCTAAAGAAGCTACCTCTGCTTTCGTTGGCACTCATTTCTTTCTTTGTAGCGTTGAACTGTGCGGTTGCAAGTTCCTCAGCCCGAGCCTTATTAGGTATGATGCCTTTTTGTACCTCTTGATTATTTCTTCCAATCCGAAAAACTTGCCAGGATCCTACAACGCCATTGTGAAGAGTATCCACCACATGAAAGACGTCGCCACTGCGAAAACTCATCTCACCTTTCTGTGGTTGCTCATAGTGAAAATGAGTTCTGCGCATGTTACAGAGATATATTTTGTTATAATCATTTTTTGTTAAAATAAATTTATAATATATTATATAACAAAATAAGATTTCCACAAAAAATAAATCGCAAATTAAATAATAATAGTTTATGCGAGTCGACACAAAGTAATCGTGTGTGAGTATCAAGGATACAAGTAATCATAAAAATGAAAAGGTCAAGTTAAAAAAATGTTCAAAAAAGAATCCTCTCAAAAATTTAGATCTTTAAATCTTTAAATGTTCATCTAATCGAAAAATGATCCCCAATAATTTAAATCTTTAACACTTTAAATGATATTATCTAATATAATGTATTAACCCGAAAAGTAACTAATATATTACTAAATGTGCCAGTTCAAAGTAACATACATACTTAACGTATATTTTCTATGTTGAATATGTACCACGAAAAGTAACTGATAGATTATGCAAGGTGCAAATTCAAAATGAACATACATACATATAAGTAAAACAGATTAGAATTTGCATATTACAGTTTTCTAGAAAATAACTACAATATGTTATTCTTAGTGAACAAAATATAAAAGTTAGTTATTGAGATTTGATTTGAGATTTATACTAGACCGTACAATAAAAAATAATAATTTCAGAGTATCAATTTGTTAATGACGCAAAAAAGAACATGGCGGCCTGCTCTCAAAAAACTTCCGATGGATGAAACAAATATAAGCTGAAGTAAAAGTTATGAGAATGGTTTAGATTTAAAGCAGCCTATCAAGTATAACTATCAGGAGACGCGGTAGTGTCTCCGGCCATGTCCAAAAACTAAGAGACGCAAAAAGTCTCCTATCCCGAGCCAACAAAGTTTATTTTTGGGAGGTGCATAACTACTAAAACATAAAAAATTTTGAATCAAACGCTATATGTCCTGAAAGGCGGCATCACCACGAGTAATTTGAGCCAAAAAATTTAAAATCGGTCAAGCCGTTCTGAAGATATAAAGCGGTCGAAAAGTGGTGATTTTAATGAAAAATTAAGAAGCGTCTCCTTCTTCTCTGTCCGCATTCAAAATTTTTCAAATCGCCATTTAAATTTTTCAACATCCTCTCTCACCTTTCACTCGCACCTCCACCATCTTTGGCATACCGGACCTCCTCCACTCGCCCCCCTCCTCCCCCCACCAACCACTCCCGCCACTCCTCTTTTTTGCCGTAATACAACTTTTTAACATTCTCTCTCACCTCTCACTCGCAGCACCACCATCTTCGACCTACCGGATCTTAAAATATTAATTAAAATAAGAATCCGAATGCTATTTAAAACTATCGCAATACTATCACGAGTCAAATTGTAATAATATATTACCACGAAAAGTAACTGATTATTAATTAAAGTTGCGAGTATAAAGTGAACATACGTAAGTGTATGTAACTTTCGGCCGATTTTCGAATCGCCTCCGCTTTCCGCTATACCCCTCATCTCATATTAAATACATATATACATATATATTTGAAATATATATTTTAAATAAAATTATTTTAAATATACTTCCCCCCGACTGCTGACTGGTATGACGAATATTTAAACCATTCGACTGTCATGAGGCATTTCGCTTGCACGCGGAGCGGTGAGGGGGACAGTGCAACTTTCGATTAATTATCGAAACATTTACGTCTAGCTTTCGCTGTCCGCCTTACCACACCGCACCGTGCACAGAACAATGCCATTTTATCGTCATTGGGCATTTGGACTGCACGTGGAGCGGTGAGGTGAGGGAGACAGTGCAACTTTCGATTGATTTTCGAATCGTTTACGTCTAGTTTCCGCTGTCCACCTTATAACACCGCACCGCGCATAATATATTACCACGAAGAGTAACTGTTTTACATTTATTTAATAATTTTTGTTTTTTAATATGCGATCGCGTTAACGAATAAGAAATTAATATGTTGTTATAAAATTTACGCGGTAATATTAGACGGTTAATGAAAGCAGCCTTGGGGATTGTTTTGATGGGAAAGTGCGGACGCGAGTCCCACGTCCCCCCCTCACCCGGCTCACCGATAAACCGTGCAGTCATCATTTAAATACATTAAGTAAAATTATTATTTTAAATACTACCGACTGTTGACCGATATGACGTATATTTAAAATTATCGCAGTACTATCACAAGTTTAATTGTAATAATATATTACCACGAAAAGTAACTGATTTATTAATTAAAAATGCCAGTACAAAGTGAACATACATAAAGTGTATGTAACTATCGGCCGATTTTTGAATCGCCTCCGCTTTCCGCTGTATCTCCAGGGCTGGGTAAAATATATCGTTAAAGTATATGAAATATAAAATACAAATATACTGGCAATCTTAGTATTTGAAATACAAAATACAAAATGCTTCCAATTTTTTAATTTGAACTACAAAATGCAAAATACTTTTAAAATTTGTATTTCAAATACAAAATATTATTTTAAAATACAAAATACGGTAAAAATGTAGATTAGGGGAGCCTCCCCCAATGACCTTGACCTTGACATATGTTGTCAAGGTCATGACCCTGAGTGACCTTGAGGAAGTTTTAATCGTCGGACCTAACTCGTTAAAAAGTTATTAATAAAAAAAGTTTCAAAATTAATCATTTCTGGAAAATTATACGTATGAACGTATCATTTCTGCCATATATGTATTATGTTCAAAAATAGATCCTCGCAAATTAAAAAACCCAACAAACTTAAACCTTTGAAAACTAACCGCAAAAATTTGATCCTTCCTAAATTAAAACGATTACCTAACCACAAAATAGAAAACCCAATAAATTTCAACCTTTGAAAATTATCCCCAAAAATTTGAACTTTTCTAAATTAAAATGATTATCTAATAATGTAACATAATAATTTAAACCTTTAATACTTTGAATGATATTATCTAATATAATATATGACCACGAAAAGTAACTGATATATTACTAAATGTGCCAGTTCAAAGTGAACATACATCAGGAGACGCGGTAGCGTCTCCGGCCATGTTCAAAAACTCTGAGATGCTACAAGTCTCTTATCCCGAGCCACCAAAGTCCATTTTTGGGAGGTGCACAACTACTAAAATATAAAAAATTTTGAATTGAACGTCATATGTCCTGAAAGGCGGCATCGCCACGACTAATTTGAGCCAAAGAAATTTTAAATCGGTCAAGCCGTTATGGAGATATAAGCGGTCGAAAAGTGGTGATTTTAATGAAAAATTAAGAAACGTCTCCTTCTCCATCTCCTTTTCCTTCTCCTTCTCTGTCCGCATTTTTAAACTTTTCAACATCCTCTCTCATCTTTTACTCGCACCTCCACCATCTTTGGTCCAACGAACCTTCTCCACTCGCCCCTCCCCCTCCCTCCACCACTGACTCCCGCCACCCCTCTCTTTCGCTGTATTTCACATTCTTTCGTTATTACAACATTTTAACATCCTCTCTTAC